TGGAGCTATGCTGCAGCTATTTTAGTAGTATAGTTGTAACACGAATGGCTCGGCTCGACCGGGGAAGAACCACACTCTCACAGAATACAAGCGTAAAATAGCAGCTTAATGTTGCTGTGTTTAGTATGGTGAGTGTAGGGAACCGGAGACCATTTTTAATTGAAAAGAGGCATTCCATCTTTCGACCATAATATAGCTGCACCATATCTCTACAACCTATAAAATCATCATATTTTATCGCGTTTTATTAACTTCTTTCCGTTATTAAGATCCCATTACTTACAATATAATGTGGAAAAAAATACCCCGACCGCCGACAAGGAACAGCGACATAGATACTTGGCGTCTGTTAATCTAATCGCCCCTCCGTCTACCAAACGTGGCGATTATAATAAATTTTCCCTACTTTACGAAAAAGCCTGGCAGTGGTTTTTTTGATACAGATTATATTCTGATATATATTGGAGATATGATAAAGCAATATCTTATTTGCCCAGGTACTGCGACGTTCTGCCAGGATAACATCTGCGTGCCAGACACGGACCCGCCTATTGTGTACGGAGGTTGTTTCACTCTGATATCCTGCGGCGGCAACCAGACCTGGCACCTCGATCCAGTTGTATATAAAAAGAAAAAGAGCAGATTTTTTTAGTTTATATTGGAAATTGTAATGATTAATACACGCTTTAGTATTTTATTTACATTGTCTACCATCTCCCGTAGGTAATGGTTGAGTGTAATAACAACCTATAAAAAATTCATAACCCTATTCCAAAACATGTTGGTGTCGTAACGTATGACTTTGAAAAATACGAGGAATAAAATATTTTATGTCTTCTGATAGATATATCAATCCCATTTAAGTTTTCTTTTACATGATAGCGCCATGCTGCAGCTTAATTGTGGTTGCAGCACGAATGGTTCAGCTCGACCGGGGTAGGGCCACGCTCTCACAGAATACCAGCGTAGAATAGCAGCTTGATGCTGCTGTCTTAATTAAAGATATATGTAAATTCTATGGGCCACAGCATCCACTTACCAGCAGGTGAACTCTGTGCTCGTTTGTCACCCTTATTCTATAAAAAAGTAATATGTTCTTAAGTGAATTTCGGTTACGGTGGCCAATCTCAACGGAGACTACCATCTGTGTAGGACAGAATTATATTGCACGTGTGTGTGCGCAAATACGGGTGTACTCTTTCATATTCCGATGGGATGAATATCCAACACGACCGAAGAGAGATCAGGCGCAAGATCAACGGCTTTATATGTTTTCCGAGGCACGGGGATAAACACTGCCAACTTCCTGACTCCTGGCTACTGGCAATTACTTGACAGTAAACCCAATAACTGATTATTGAACGCGGAACCTTACAGTGAACGGTAACAGCTTTAAAGGTGCGAAATCTCTGTTACTAAGAACGTCAATAATTACTTATGGCAAATCCAGAGAGGATTTACAATAGTAGAGGTTCATATTCGGTAATGAATTTTTACTGCCTGATAAAAAAGAAGAAGATGGTTGACTTCTTTTACGACCAACTATAGTGGTTTCATGATGATGTGGTTTGGACTACGATGACATCGTTGTATTAGTTTATTGTCCCATCGAAATTATGAGATTAGAGAGAGAATCACCTCACTACCCTTAATCCCATCGAGATTAAGGGTAGTGAGGTAACTAATGAGAGTGAGTATACTATAATCCTGTCCTGCGCAGATGGTCTTGGATGAAGTCTTCTTTGAGACTGGCCGCCATGACCGGAATTCTGTTTGAAGAACATTGTTACATTATTTTACACGCTTTTCATAAGTCTATAGACGCATGTGGCTTGGGACCGTGCTTTGTGGCGTATCTACCTTGAGGGAGGCCTATGTTCAGCAATGGACTTGTGAAGGGCTGTAATGATTATGATGATGATGATGACATGCTTTTCATATAGATTTAGGTTAATGATCTTTTTAAATCTATTTATTGTTTTTCTTGTAAAAAGGAGAGGCTCAGATCCAGCGATGAATCGTTACTGCCTGATAAAAAAGAAGATGGTTGACTTCTTCTATGACGAACTATACTTGTTTTATGATGATGTGATTTGAACCACGATGACAATTTTCGAATACTACAGAAGCTATCAAACTTACCACGTGATAGGACTTCCTTTATGCTTGTGATTCTATCTGGGTAGGTGTCAACCTAATACCAATTTCTGCCACCAAGGTACATTCTTTAATATAATAAGGGTGACAAGCGAGTACACAGTCCAGATGGTAAGTGGATGCTGTGGTCTATATACATCTACATTTATTCACGATTAAGAATTGTAATACAAATTGTTAGATCTTTGCAGTTTTCAAGAGAACTAACTGAGAACTAAGATGGAATGCCTCGTTTCCATTAGAAAGAGACTCCAGTTCTCTACACTCACCACACGAAACACAGCAACATCAAGCTGCTATTTTACGCTGCAATATAAGATAGAATACTGTGAGAGTGTGGTCCTTGCATGGTCGAGCCGACCCATTCGTGCTACAATCGAAATATAGCTGCAGCATAGCTCTACCACGTATAAACGGGCACTGCTACGTTCCAATGTGACGTGTATGGGGAGCTGGTTAGTCCTCAGATGTTTGGAGTTCGTTGCTGCACTTCATGGGCTGTATTAGTCACTTATCATCTGGTGGACTGTATGTTCGTTTGTCATTCGTCACATATAAATACTAAGAATGTAATGATGAAAATTAATGTAAGTGTAAGAATGAAAAATGGCTGCCTCGTTGATCTAGTGGTTGTAGTAGTGCGACTGCTGATCATAAGGTTCTGTGTTCGAATCCCGAGTTGGCCCAAAAAATCAATTATTGAGTTTTTCTATCAAGAAATTCTCAGTAGCTGCCCGGAGTCAGGAAGTTGGCGGTGTCTCATCCCCGTGCCTCAGAAATTACGTAAAGCCGTTGGTCCTGCGCCTGATCTCTCCCCGGTCGTGTCAGTTTACCGTCCCATCTGATTATGAGAGTGAGGGAATAGAGAGTGAACCTGTGCTTGCGCACACTTGGGCGCTATGATCCTGTTCTGCGCCGATGGCTAGCTTCCGTTGAGGCTGGCCGCCGTAACCGAAATTCGGTCTGCAGGACATTATTATTATTATACTAAGAATATACTGGCGTAAGTTTATGATTCGTCGTATGGAGTGTCCTGTTAATAGTAAATGATTTCCCGATTTTCGTCACCCCTTGTACAAGGCACAACGGGGTTATACCTCTATATATAAATTCTTACGAGAGGCCGACGCCTTCATGCTGCAGCCAGTGTTCCATCTGCGAAGTGGCTCTATCACGTATGAATTCGTAACCTGAATTGTCACAGGGTTGCTAACCCGCCTACCAAGCGTGGCAACTATGAGAAAATCCCTCGTATGAGTCGAAGTAGTACGTAGTCAGACGCAATTCAAAAAATCACTTGAAAGTAAGTCACCACCGACTGATCAAATTTTTAAATGTAAATAATATTTTATTATACTGGATTACCTTTTTTATCGTCTGGAAAAAAATAGGGTGTAACATGTGAATGTGGTAGAAGCCTATGGCTCTGATATTTTACAAAAAATAAATACAAAAATTTTGAAATAAACGTTTGAAATTTTTTTAACAATTACTTTGCCTTTTGCCCTTGAGTCTGTGACCCTGCGACGTGACAAGGTCAAAGATGCCTACTAAATTTATTCTCTTATTGTCGTCGTTCGTAAATTAGGGTGGATATGATTTGAATTTCGATAGATTTTAATTTATTTATTGAATTCAAAATTTTTGTTTTTATTTTTTGTAAATATCAGTGCTTCTACTACGTTGACATGTTACACACAATTTTTTCCAGATGGTAAAAAAGGTCATCCAGTATAGCGCTGATGCAAAATATTTTTCCTATTATGAGTACAATGACGTTGATGAACGAATGATGTTTGGATGATTTTTACGCAATTACGTACTCATGTTTGGTTATTAGATAAGCCTGAATGAATATGGATGAAATTTGGCACATAATTAAAGTAAATGATGGGTTAACATATAGCATACTTATTACTACGGAAAAATATCTATATGTTACCACGGGCAAATGAATATGAAGATGTTTTTGTTTTACACAGACAAAACCGCGGGCATAGGCTAGTGAACGGATAAATAAATTTAGCACAATCAACAATAATAGCTTGTAGTAAATTAACAGTTTCCTCGAAAAGTTTGGAGTGGAGTTTTATACGTGATAGAGCCACGTATCGGGATACGTATAGAGGTCAATGGACCACAGCATCCAGTTACCATCAGTTGATATGGAGGCTCATTTGCCACGCTCATGCTATAAAAAAGAGATTTCATAAAAATTTATTGGATGTGTGGACAGTTGTAAGGGTATATTAAATTATTACGCGTAGTATAGATAATATGTACGAGCACAATATTGGGTGATCCCCACTAGATAGTGATCTGAAGAAATATTTAGGGATTCGATGGAAGCAAAGACTTTGGAACCGTGCTTTGTGTTATTCTATGCGCGAGGCCTATGATCAACAGTGGCCTTGCGAAGGGCTGTAGTGATAGTGATAATTATAACATAATACGAGTATAAGCGCATTTAAAAAAATTAAAACCGCAAAACTTTACCTTTAAAGCAGTCAAATTATTAATAAAAAAAAACGAATTGAATTACGAAGCAAGCGTAACATTAACAAGAACGCAATTTAGACACTTAAGGATTAGGACTCTAAAAACTCCGAACACAAGTTCGCGTTTAGCGTTTTCAGACAACAATCAGCGGCGGGAATTCGTGACGTTCCACGAACTGCAATAAAAAGACTTCGGACCACCTGTTTCATTGTACAAACAACAATGCACGTTTCTCGCATTGTTGCTAATCGAGATATTACACACACGAATGAGGTTTAAAAGATCATTCCAAATCACAGTTTTGTCTTATTTAGTACAGTAGATATGCCAGGTGCTTAAAGAAAATGAAGGTACTAATCTGCCTCGTCAGTTGCTTACTTTATCGATATGTGACGTCCGAAATAAGAGGCAGTGTGATGGTCAACAAGTAAGTGGTTCCAACTATAAAAAAAATTACCCAGCTTTGCCATCGCACATCGCGACAAAATTTATACAAATAAATATAATTGAAGTGTCTGTTTGTAATGTCAAAACTACAGCTTTTCACTAAATGTATATGAAAGTATATACGGTATTTATAAAAAAAAAAAAAAAATTTATATTATGTCTGTCTGTATGTCTGTTTGTTCCGGCTAATCTCCAAAACGGCTGGACCGATCTTGACGGGACTTTCACTGGCAGATAGCTAATGTAATAAGGAGTAATTTAAGCTAATTTTGTTTTAAAAAAAATTAGGAGAAGATTAGGCTGTCGCTCAAAAAAATTAAAACCCATAAAATCAAAACGTAATAAATTCCACACGGATGAAGTAGCGGGAAACAGTTAGTTTGCAATACAATCCATACCATCTTGATGTTTTCTGACTCTCAACTATACGATTTACCTGAAGTTTTCGTCCTTGCACAACTTTATGAAATCAGCTATCGCCAGCAATTTTTCCAAACTGATGCCGGACGAAGAATACTTTAAGAAAAGATCCGGTAATTTTATACTATCGCGGTCCCCTCGTTTTTTGGCTCTAGAAAATCAAAAAATCATCCGATTTCGATAAAAAAAATCAAATCTTCGTTTTTACACCAGATTCACCAAAAAATTACAGATTAAAAAAGAATTTAAACTTATATTGGTTTCAGGGCTTCAAATGTTCATTTACGTATAATTGTTGATAACTTTATACAAATAATCGAATGAAGTTGTTTTTTTTTTCATAATCTACACAAAAAAAGATCATTTAAAAAAACATTAAAAAATGTTTGTTTATTAATTTTTTTATTTTGGTGTTTTATTGAGTGTAAGAACGAGCAAAGCGAGCTTGGGACTTAGGGCATCCCGACTCGGACAGGTAAGATTAGAAAGAGATGGCGGGGTCGAGTGTGCGAGCGAATAGACCCCGCGATCTCCTTCGTGGTAATTTTTTATAAACCACTCAGAAGTAGGAGCCCCGCCAAGCGGGGCTCTGTCGACCGGGCATCCCTCGACTGCGCTACGGGAGCGCTACTCCTGAGTGGTTTATAAAAAATAGCCACGGACATCGTGGGGTCTATTCGTTCGCTCACTCAACCCCGTCATCTCCTTCTAACCTAACCTGTCCGAGTCGGGATGCCCGAAGTCCCGAGCTCGCTTCGTTCGATCTTACACTTAATAAAACACCAAAATACTAACTTTTAAAATTATTTAGATTTTCTAGAGCGTTTATGATAACATGTTAAGTCAGAAAACCATATAAAACTTTATGTGACATAAAAAAATTATTAAACAAAAATTTTTCAATGTTCTTTTTTTTAATTATTCATCTTTTTGTGTAGATTAACAAAAAAAATATAAACTTCGTTTAATGTTTTGCAAAAAAGTTATGAACTATTATATTCGAAGAAGTGCGTTTATGATCACATTTAAAGTTACAAAACTATATGAAATCTTCAGCTGAAATATTTTCCATACTTTTTTCATAAATCCGCCTTAAAAACGAAGATTTTTTAAAAAAAATCGAAATCGGATGATTTTTCGCTTTTCTAGAGCCAAAAAAACGAGAGAAGCGCGAAAGTATAAAATTACTAAAGATCCTCCTCCTCCTTTTAAAAAAGCCGGCTACGCGCCTGCAATTCCCCTGACTAGTTGCTTCCTTATGCCAGTCCAGCAAATAATAAAATTTAATTACTTACTTACCAGGTGAACAGCATACTCGTTTTTCTATTTAAAAAAGAACTGAAAATGGAAACATTAATAAACTGTGGTTGCCAAATCACCTTAAAAACGTGGCATTTATAGCAAATATCTAATATGAGGCAAACTATGGGAGAGGTCATTGTTCTTGACCGTTAATAGACTGTAATTTAGCCTTTTAATTAAATTACGTTGAAGCGTTTAACGTTTTGGATGATTGAAAGTAACTCTTTTTGATAATATAAATCAAAGACTGCTAGCAGTCCTTTCACAATATATTTTTAACAAACATAAAACATTTATCCACCTATGAGTATCGAAAGGAATTAAATTTTAAACATCAAACTTGAGACTTCATAAAATTGTATGAGTTTCTAGAGTATTGTATTAATACACAAAACAAACTCTCAGTGGTTTACTCGTTAAATTTTGCACATTTTTAATTCTTTTTTGATTTTTCTACTTATGTGGATATCTGTGGTTTAGTTTATTTATTTTTAATCTAATTAATATAAAAGATAACTCTAAGTACATAAAGAAACATTAACTTTTACATTTTTTGAAAAAAAAAATAATTTCTCCACTATGAAATCTGTCAAATATTACACCTCCTTTCGAGTGGTACCGTCCTGGTGGCAGAAAAAGTCGTAATTTCAATCATTGAAGTTTATTTTTTCTTGATGTTCATATCAAATTATTAGCGTTTAGATCATCTAGAGTCTCTTTACTTAACACACAACAAAGTCAAGTCAATGAATTTGTTCGATAAATGACATGGAATGATGTAGATGGCGCTATTACGCGCGTATCACGCGCTCAGTATAAGATATTTGAATGTGTCGCGCGGAGGGGTAACATAATGACTTCACTTTTTGTACCACGGGGTCGAATTTAAAAACCTACTTCATATTTCGAAGTCGTTTAAAAAAGTAACACGTTTTACACTTATTTAGACTTCTCAAGGTAAAACCAGTAGGCAGCGATATAAAAAGCCGCTTCGTTCCCCTAACGGAGTTTCCACCACCCTACCTCCATGGAAAATCCGGTCGGCGGCATTTGGAAGACATTTGTAATAAGAAGCCAGAAGGAATAGAAGTGCACGACGGACCCCGAGTTGAAATTTTTGGCGATTATTACGATGATGGAGGGGCAAAGACCGTAGCTACGGTGATTATACCAGATCACATTGATCGTAAGTTGTCTTATGTTAATTCAAAATTCAAAAATTCAAAAATGTTTATTCTGTAACAAAAAATTAACAATCATAGCAGTATATTAGAGTTCTCCTTTTAAGTATTTTTAAATACTTGTGACAGGAAAAACTCGCTCTTCCTTAATTAACATACAATACTTTAGTTACAAGAACAGCATAATATTCCTTTCCTAAAATAATTTATTATGAAAAAAATATGAAGATGTGTGCGCGTGCGTGTGCGTGTGCATGTGTGTGTGTGTGTGTGTGTGTGTGTGTGTGTGTGTGTGTGTGTGTGTGTGTGTGTGTGTGTGTGTGTGTGTGTGTGTGTGTGTGTGTGTGTGGGTGTGGGTGTGTGTGTGTGTGTGTGTGTGTGTGTGTGTGTGTGTGGGTGTGTTTTGTAAGTCGTGTTATTTTAACAAATTTTCTATTTCGTGATAGTCTTTCCGTCTGAGCCATTCAATGAGAATTACCTTACATTCTTTACTGGTTTTAGAATAAATATTCAATTCTTTATTTAAGTAGTTATATAAATAAGAGGACTTTTTTGCCTGTTGCCGTCTAGCAAATGCTGTTTTAACCGGATCACTTGGAGCTACGTTAGTTTTCCTCCTTTTACTTTCAATTTCAGGGTTATATGCAAGGGACTTGTGTACCTTAAGAACTATATTTAGTATGTATAACTTACGAACTGTAAGAAGATCGCATAGTGTGTATAAATCTTGTGTTGGGAATTTGTAAGGTTTAAAATTCATAACCTTCAGTAATGATCTCTGGGCTCTTTCTAAATCTAAAAACTTTGTTTTTGTAGCACCTCCCCATATACTAATACAATATACCAGAACTGATTGAACTAAAGAAATATATACTTGTTTTAATATGGGTGGTGTTGCGAGATGTCTCAAAATTTTGAAAAACCATATGAATTTTCTAATCCTAGTCATTAACAGTTCAATATGTAGATGCCAAGATAATCGCTGATCCAATAGTATTCCAAGATATTTTGTACTTGATACTTTGTTTATGTGAGGGCATGGGCAGTTAGAGTTATTAAGGTCAACACAAGAATGAATTTTAATGTTAAAATTAGGTTGAGTCCTATTGTAGTTAGTAAAACATATATAGTTAGTCTTAGATGTATTGATAGTCAATAAATGTAATCTCAACCATTCTGCAACCTTGGCTAACCCCACTTCAGCGCTATGCCGGACATCTTCCCAGCTTCGACCACAGAATGTCAGAGCAGTGTCATCTGCATACGAGAACACGTACCCATTTTGTAGCGATATATTACATAGGGAGTTTACGTAAACCAAAATAGAGTCGCACTCAGTACACTCCCCCTGTGGGACGCCGTAGGTAATGGTAGAATCATGACTACAATGTTCTCCTATTTTGACTCGTTGTCTACGGTTTGTTAAGTAATCTTTAAATAAATCTAGGGGTTTACCTCTAATACCTATTTGTTCAAGTTTCTTTACAAGAGTGGGGACAGAGACGCTATCAAAGGCTTTTTTTATGTCGAGAAAAACTGTTAAACATTTATTTCCTTTGTCGACTTGTTCAACAATGAGTGAAGTTAGACTTGAAATAGCGTCTTATGTTAAGAACTAAATTTTATTTTATTTCTATATCTTTTATAATAGTTATGGGTTTTTTTATTTATATTTTTATTTATATTTTTATTATTATTTTATTTATTATTATTTTTTATTAATAGAGTGTTCTCATCTGGTTGGGCTGAATAAATATGAAAAAGGAAATGACAAATATACATAAATATATATATTTAATTTTAATTATACTAACATAAATAAATAAATAATACATAAATAAATAAAAGCCCAACCAGATGGAGGCCCTCGGCAGGGGAGACCAAACGGCCGATGGTTAGGGGGAAAGAGAAATAAACCGGCGGACGATGCGGGCGGTATCGAGGAACACCATTTGAGCCTGGACCGGTTATTATTATGTATTATAATTATTTTTTAAACACCAATATCGAGTAACCAAAGTAACTCCAACCAAATTTTTTTAAAACTAGATTAATAAATTTAGTGTGAGGGCAAATATGCCAACTACAGCAACAATGCTTACAATTTGGTAAAAAAGTTGGCGTACCAACCAAATTTGTTTCAATTTGGCCAATACAAATTTCACAGACTAGTGAGATGGAGCAGCGTTATCTGTATATACCATAGAATACTATAATAGACAATAGAATGGCTGTCAACCTTATTTTGTACCGAAGTTCGGCGTCGCCGGGAGCGCACATACAAGCAAATACGCCGTATTATCAGTTTATCACTACTACAAACCCGATTCGCTGTGTTCAAAGACGGATTTTAATACATATTAATTTGTAAATAGCGTGCAATTTGGCATTTTCTAAATAATTTGCGAAATTTGGAAACGATTGTAATGTCAAAACACATCTCGTGTTGAAATTTATACGTGTGAATTGACGTGTTAGTGGCATTTTAGTGGCTACGCCCACACCTCCGTTCTATTATTACTTACTTACTTACTATTACTTATCTTCACGCACAATCCCTAACGAGGTAGCCAGAGAGAACAGATCGCCAAGTGTCACGATCCGTACATACCTCTTTCGCTTCCTTCAGGTTCATTACTTCTTCATACATGCACGTCTAGGTATCCGAGTACTCTTGACCTTCCCCTCTTCGAGTAATTTGCTTACATGGTCTTCGAAAGTTAGTCTCGGTCTACCTCGACACCTTTTAATATTTACTTTCGCGGTCTTCACTCATTCGCTCAACGTGCCCAAACCATCAGAGTACGCCCCTATCAATTTTAGTGATAAGGTCATCTTTCAATCCTGCCATATTGCGAATATCTTCGTTTCGCTTTCGGTCGGCTATGGTAACGCCGCACATTTTACGAAGAGATCGCATCTCCACTGCATTAAACTTGCTTTTATGCTTCTTCTGGCATACCCAGGTTTCGCTGCCATATAACAAAGTCGGCACCAACACTGCGTTATGTATTGCAAGGCGTGCACTCTTCACTACGCCTTGCCTTTTGACTAACGCATTCAGGGCACCATTGACTTTGTTCCCGGCAGCGACACGCCTGTCCACATCTAAATCAAATCTTCCATCCCGGCTGAAAGCACTCCCCAAGTATACAATTTCATTTACCTGTTCTAGACATTCCTGATTTACCCATATTTCACATTTCGTTCTCTCTTCGTCCTTTTCAAATACCAGAACCTTAGTTTTATTAGCATTCAAACGGAGACCTTTAATTTCACATTCCTCTTTCATACACGTGACTAATGCCTGCAGTTCTGCTTCTGATGGTGCAATAAGCACTGCGTCATCAGCATACAGCAGACAATTAACTTTAATATCACCCAATTTCACACCCAAACATCTATTTTTCAGCTTCTGTAAACAGCTGTCGAGATACAGTATGAACAGCCAGGAAGACATGACACAACTCTGTTTTACACCCGCTTGGACGCTAAACATGGGTGACAAGTCATGCCCGACCCACATACACAGGCTTTACAGTCATAGTAAAGTGACTGCACAGCCCTTAGCAATCGACCATCCACACCATATCTCGGCAACAGTTCCCACATTTTCTTCCTTATAACCTTATCAAATGCTTTCTCCAGATCCACAAAAGCACAGAAAATCTTCTGATTAACACTCAGAAGCTTCTCCGTGATCATGCGGAGAGAAAACATTTGATACGTGCATCCTCTTCCAGGTCTAAATCCGCATTGTGCCTCCCATAAAAATCTTTCCGATTTCTCTTGCATCCTACGTGTCAAAACCTTCAAGTAAACTTTACTTGCTAAACTGGTCAAGCTGACTGCCCGATAGCACCCGCAGTCAAAATGTGAACCTTTACCTTTATATAAAGGCACAATGACCGCGGATCGCTAATCATCCGGGACACCTCCCGTCCGCCAGCACAAATTGCACAGCAGATGAAAGCTGTCCCAGACGCGAGGCCCACCGTACTTGACCATTTCACCAGTAACTCTGTGTAGTCCCACAGCCTTACCACATTTCAAACTTCGAATCGCACGTTCAATCTCTTTCATGCTGATGACCTCAGTGTCATCAAGGTCCGTGTCTGGCGTGCCAGTCACGGCGTCACCCCCGGATCCTTCACTAAGATCATGACACGCATACATTTCTCTATAAAATTCACTCCATCGCTGCATGACGTCCGATTTTTCTGAGAGGACGTCATGGTTCTCGAAAGAACTTTGTTCATTCTTAAGGCTGTCCCACCACTCCGAGACCTTCCAACCTCTTTCCAGAAGAGTTTGGAGTTTTCCTTAAAGTTGTGCGACAACCTTTCGTCCGCTTCTATTCTACACCTTTCACGTACTTCCTCAATCAGTGTTTTCGCATGAACTTTCTGCAGCTTATATCTTTCATTCATCTTCTCTCTCATAGGTTTATCGTTACTAGAGTCCAAGTAGTCTAACCATGCTTTTTTCTTCTTTTTTACAGCTTCTCTCACTTCATCATTCCACCATTCATCTCTTCTTTTACTACTACCTCTTTTTGTCGTTCCACATACTTCTTCCGCTGCACTTACCATTCCATCCCTAAGGTTCTGCCATGTTCTCTCTACACATTCTTTCCTGCCATCGATGGTATCAAGCTTTTCGGCTACCCTCGTGTGATATTTGTCCTTAGTATCCGCTTCCTGAAGCTTCCAGCTTCGGATGCGACAGACCGACTGTGGTTCTGTTACTGCCGTCCGGTAGCGTCAACTTGAGAACAAACCCCTAAATCTAGTAATTACTAGATAGTGATCCGTTTCCGGGTCAGCACCCCTGAACACTCGTATATCCATCACCTGTTTTCGCAGTAGGTCATCCACCAGGAACAAATCAATCATACTTCTCTCATTCTTTCTTTCTCTAGTGTACATATGGATTTTCCTGTGATTAAACATAGTGTTTGTCACAAGAAGATCCTTTTCCTTGCATAGCCAGTATAAGCTTGCCAGCATCATTAACCCTTTTATCGCCAAACTTTCCAAGCACCGACTCGTATCCTGGTCGAGCGATACCTACCCATCCATTCAAATCACCACATACAACAGTTCTTTCGTTTCCCTTAACCAAATCTAGAACTTCTCTTACATTCTCCCAAAACTCCTCCAGCTCAGCCCTGGACGACGAAGCTACCGGCGCATAAACAGCCAAAAGGAATAACTTCGTCAGTCCCAGTTTAAAGTGAACCCAGAGATGTCTTGAGTTCACAACCTTATATTCATAGTCATAAGATCGACCAACTGGGACGACAGCAGCACCCCCACTCCAGCTAACATCCCGCCAGAGAGCTCTTCAGTACCACTGCCTTTCCGTTTGGTCTCCGACATACACACGACATCTAATTCACTTTCTTTCATTATTTCGATCAACTCATTCGTCTTATCTCTCATGCCCCCTCTAACATTCTACGTGCCAACTTTGCACTCCGTCCTCCACCCTCCACAGTCGTTAGTATGGGTACGTAGTACTATTGTTTATTCTGTGGTAAGGCAAAACTTCCAGATAATACTAGCCAGCAGGCATATTCCTATGAAAGGTGCCTGAACTTTAAAAACTCTTGATCTTAAGTGCTACAAATATTGACGAATCATCATCATCATCATCATCACAGCCCTTCACAAGTCCACTGCTGAACATAGGCCTCCCCCAAGTAATGCCACAAAGCACGGTCCTGAGCCACCTGCATCCATCGACTTCCTGCATATCTTACCAGGTCGTCACTCCATCTAGTGGGGGGTCGCCCTACACTACGCCTACCGGTACGAGGCTGCCACTCGAGAACCTTTCTTCCCCATCGGTTATCGGTTCTTCGAGCTATATGGCCGGCCCATTGCCACTTCAGCTTACTAATCCGTTGGGCTATGTCGGTCAATCTGGTTTTACTGCGGATATCCTCATTTCTGAGTCTATCACGCAGAGAAACTCCGAGCATAGCCCTCTCCATAGCTCGCTGAGCGACCTTGAGCGTCCTCATACGGCCAGCAGTGAAGGACCACGTCTCTGATCCGTAAGTCATCACTGGCAACACGCACTGGTTGTACACTTTAGTTTTCAGAGATTGAGGTATACCTGACGAGAAGATATGTCGTAATTTCCCGAACGCTGCCCAGCCGAGTTGAATCCGTCGATTGACCTCTCGGTCGAAGTTGGACTTACCTAGTCGGACTATTTGTCCCAGGTAAACGTACTCGTCAACAACTTCGAGCATAGTGCTCCCAACAACTACCGGCATAGGTGTGACATGGACATTAAACATAATCTTTGTTTTGTCCATGTTCATCTTAAGACCTATCCGTTGGGAGGCACTATTGAGGTCATTGAGCATAGTGCTTAAGTCCTCCAGCGATTCTGCCATAAGGACTATATCGTCGGCAAATCGAAGGTGAGTGATGTACTCGCCATTGATGTTAATACCGTATCCTTTCCAGTCCAGTAGCTTGAAAACGTCTTCCAAAGCAGCGGTGAAGAGTTTCGGGGATATAACGTCACCCTGTCTTACACCTCTCTGCAGTTGGATAGGTTTCGAGCTCTGGTTCTGTACTCGGATAGCCATCGTAGCCCTACTGTACAAACACTTCAGCACTTCAATATACCGACAGTCAACTTGGCACCGCTGAAGGGACTGCAGCACCGCCCAAATTTCGACGGAATCAAAGGCTTTCTCATAGTCCACATACGCCAGGCAAAGTGGCAAATTGTACTCTTCAGTCTTCTGTACAATCTGCCGCAGGGTATGTATGTGGTCTATGGTACTGAAGCCTTTTCGGAAACCGAACCGTCGAGTCTGCGTGCGAGACGATTCGTAATGACTCTCGAAAACAGCACGTAGACGCGGCTCAGAAGGGAAATCGGTCTGTAGTTCTTCAAGAGAGCGTTGTCGCCTTTCTTAAAGAACAAGACCACCGCACTTCTGCTCCACGCCTCTGGAGTAGTGCCACCATGGAGGACGGAATTGAAGAGCTTCTGAAGGACTTCAAGTACCGGTGTTCCACCCGCTTTCAGAAGCTCCGCTGTAATTCCATCCTCGCCCGGGGCCCTGCCGTTTTTAAGGTGCTGGAGAGCCATTCTAATCTCGCTTAGACTGACGTCCGGGATATCATCGGAATAGTGTCGGATAAGACTTGCTCTTGGATCGTTACTCACACTTGCGTGTGGCTCCAACGATGATGTGTACAGCTGCCCATAGAACCTCTCAATCTCACTCAAAATCTCAGGTGTCCCGGAAACGATGCTGCCACACTCAGTCTTCAGCCTTGACAGTTGGCTCTTTCTGGCAGATAGATCTCTGGCAAAGACTTTGGAGCCCTGGTTCCGCTCGATCGCTTCTTTAATACGAGCAGTATTAAAGTTGCGTAAGTCTCGCCGCATGCATTTGGAGATCTGTCTGTTCAGTTGCCTGTATGCTGTCAAATCTGTTGACGATTGCAGCCTCATCTCCCGTCTAACAGCCATGAGATTAAGAGTGTGATCGGAGAGTTTTTGTGTTCTTCTGCGGCGGGTCTTGCAGAACTTAGCTCCGACCGCATGGACAGTTTCCACGAGCTTGTCATTCATATCGTCCACTGCATTGCAATCTTGTAGGCACTGAAAGCGGTTGTGTAACTCGAGCTGAAAGTTTTCGGGATTTTGGATCAGAGCACGAGGGGGACGGAGCGTTGACTTCATTAGACGAGACCTCTCCAACTTAACGTTTAGGTTCAGTGTGCCTCTAACCATTCGGTGATCGCTGCCAGTTTTCACCCTTGCGATCACTGAGACATCACTGAACAGTTGGCGTCTGGTCGTCATAATGAAGTCAATCTCATTTTTTGTCGAACCGTCGGGGCTCGACCAGGTCCACTTCCTGTGGGGCCGCTTCTGGAAGAAAGAGTTCATCATAAAGAGTCCCTCTTTCTCCATAAAGTCGGCCAGCTGCTGGCCCCTTCGGTTCCGTTGCCCTACTCCAAATTTCCCTAACTTCAGCTCACCGCTTTCTCTTGTGCCTAGTTTTGCGTTGAAGTCTCCCATCAACACCGTGTAGTGGGTTTTGGAGGAATGTATGGCTTTGGAAATATCCTCATACATTTCCTCCACCTCCTCATCGGAATGTGCCGACGTTGGTGCGTAAACCTGTATGACCTTCAGCGAATACCGTTTGGTGATTCTGAGTATCAGGTACGCGACCCTCGTCGACACACTCTCAATCTGTACAACGTTGTTGACGAGAGACTTGTGGACGATAAATCCGACACCTCCTTGGGACAGATGGTCGCCCTCCCGGTGATAGAACAAGTTGCCGGATTCGAGAATCACCGTGTCCTCCCCCTCTCTTCGGACCTCGGATAATCCTATAATACTCCAGCGCAACTTGTCTATCTCTTCTTCCAGCTCCAGGATCTTCTCGTCAGTCCTCAGTGTGCGTGCGTTAAATGTTGCCAGGTCGAGTCAATATTGACCCCCCATGAACAATATTGACGAATGAATGGAATAAATTATTTTTAGTATTCAATACAGGTCATTAGATTACTATACTTTATTTCCTCCTGGTTATTTTTGGTCGATATTTTTATATAATAGTTACAATATTATTACACAATTATTTATTTTATTAATTATAGAAACATCATTACCAGCAGTTATTTTCATTCAAGAATCCCCTATTATTATAAACTCTGCCTCGTTTGTCTAGTAACGTAAGTCATGTAGTCCTGGACTCGAATCCTGAATTTTTCTGCAAAGAATTTCTTTAGCAGCCTGCAGCCTGCCTGTTGGCGGTGATTCATTCTTGTGCTTCGAAAAGCCGATCTTTCTTCAATTGTGTCGGACTGCTGTTCAATCAAAAAAGGAAAGTGAGGTAACTAATATGTTCAACTGAACTGAACTGCAATCCGTACACCTGTTATTGTGGCTTCGATATTCATGCAGTGCGGAACAGCGCTAATACTAATTGTATATTAAATTATCACATATGCAAAATGAACGAAAATAAAGAATGTACTCGATTAACAATGCAATCTAAATAAACAATTATTTATTATGACATTTTCGCGCGTTTATATCAACTACGCATGCGCGAGCGCGACTACTGTTTCCCGCGCATGCGCGGATACAGAGTAGTGCAATTTTTTTGTTTGGAATAGCTTCTCTAGTACATAGTACAACATATGACTCAATGTTTGTTACTTGCTGAATAGTTGGCAGTTTTTTTTTTTAATTTCCGCGATAGGTTAGGTAGGTAGGTACCACACACTAAGCTATTTTTGCCGATGAATAGCAGTGCGTGCACTGTTGCGTTCCGGTCAAAAAAGTTTAAAGAACTAATATAATTATAATTTATACGTGGTAAATCCATGCTGCAGCTGACCCTTTTTAGTGGAAACGAGGCATTTTATCTTAGTCTTCAGGGGTAACTCAGGGAACGAGGATGGATATGGATATCTATGGGCCACAGCAATCACTTACCATCAGGTGGACTGTGTGCTCGTTTTTATCCTATCTTATAAAAAAATATGTAAGAAGATCCATTTAAATCCTCATTTGTGACCACGCATCTGTAACCTTTCTGATTTAAATATGATAACAGGTATCCATACAGGTTGATTGTAAATTCGTTCCGTCACATCTATTACATAAAACGAAACTATTCCAGACAAGCATTACCAAGTGACAACACAAGTACCCTATTTTACGGTCGGTCACATTGAAGCTCTTGGCTACCACCCAAGCACGATCAAAGGTGAGCAACCCAGCGAATGTGAAAAGATTTATCAGGATCATCTAGAAACCCTGTACTCCGATGAATCGCCGGAATACTCTGAAGAGTCATTGGAGATGGCGAGGATGCCGCTATTCCCTGAAGGTAAACCGCCAGAGTCTGCTGAAAAGCGACTGGAAAACATTTACAGCGATTTGGAGTAACATGAAGAATTTTGATACTTTTGTATTTTGTTATTGGAATAAATTTTTATTTTTTATCTTGTTTTACTTAATGCACTTAGTCTTGAAAACGATAATATTTGATCCTGTTAGTGGTGCTATAAAATAATCTTTTGGCTCATCTTGTTGAATAGATCCGAGTAGTGGCGGTGTAAAAATATCTACTACCCGCATTCATCCCGTGGGTGTCGTAAGAGGCGACTGAGGGAAACAAATCTGGAGACGGGCAGCAGCGTTTTCCTAATAACGACTAAAAGTAAAAAAAAAATTTGACATACCCCTATCGCGAAATAGTATCTCCCGGAATCAACCCCTATCAAGGTTATGTCGACTTTATGAGGATTATAGCCTTCGCTTTACCAACCTTGACATCTTCAACTCTAGCCTGGTTCGCTTTAGAAATGTTTTGAAAGACATTCTCAAGGACATCCCTTCGATTAATATTCATTATAGTTATAGTTCTTGGTTATAGGTCTTGATTTGTTGGATTTGTGAGCCTGTTAGTTTAAGCAATTTTATTTAAAATGTTTCTTTCTCAATCTTGGCATGCCGTGATAACACGTTTAAGGATTATGTCTTGTATCACACCATTATTATTGTAGGTTATAGCTTTAAGTCATGATGTAATCTGTTGTGTTGTCCTATAAAAAAACTGCGGTTCCCAACTGCCAAGCCAAGCATGGCAACTGTGACAAATATCCTCTATGAGGTAATCTATGGGAGAGGCCTTTGTTCAGCAGTGGACTTCAATAGGCTATAACAGTAACATTTGAATAGATCCGTAAAAGAAGAACATTGCTACAGGGTTTGGTCTTGGGACAGCCAGCCAGCATCCAGACTTTAGGTTTGGTATAGTTATTTCTTTCGTAAAATAAGACTTCATCCATCCATTCATTACAGCCTTTAACCCCTCAAGCGCCATAAAAATGCCATGCAGTCGCATGCGCCCGGCAAATCCCGAGCGATCGCACGCAATCGCACCCACCAACAGCGCTTAAAACCATTAAAACTTATATTTAGAGACTACTTTTCTGAGAAGAAGTTTTGCATTATATAATCTATGCAAAATTTTCTATCTTGTAGTTTAAAGAAAACTCAGGTTTTACATCATTACAAAAAGATTTTATTGTATTTTGACAAAGAAAACACCAACCGAATGTCGGCAGCGTGAAAATCACAATTATTTCAATATATATTACTCGAAATTATTTACGTATAAAGATAAATTATATTCACACAAAAACTTTCATTACAATTTTATAATGAAACACTATACTAAAACACTAATAAAACACATCCAAAAAATCTACACAATAACATTCATGCGAAAATGGCGTACGAAATGAACGTATATTATAAATAAATATTCGTAGGATAACAGTTTTTTTATTGCGTATATTTTGTGTATATTTTTTATTTATTATATTAGAGAAAGAGTACTTCATATTAATTATGTAATGCCTAACTTCTTTATAGAAAAGTAGTCTCTATATATGTTTTTATAGATTAAAGTGCTGTGGATGGGTGCGGCCTCATGAGACCGCTAGGGATTTGACGGAATATGGCCGCGGTCTCATGAGACCGCTAGGGGGTTGAGAGGTTAACTGTTCAACGCTGGAACATAGGCCTCGCCCATAGATTTCCTGACAGGACATCGCCGTAGTTGCCACGCTTAGCAGGCGGCCTATCAACTGTAGTCCTTTATTAATTTGAGTTGTTATCAGAAATACGTTTCTCAACATCTCCTGTTTAAGTTCAATATGGAGTAGAAGATATTCTTAAACTACTACACGTCTGAAAAAATCTACCTAGTTTTATTAAAAAGTTTTTGCTTGAAATAATTTCCTCGTTGTCTCTCAGTGTTCCCCATTAGAAAGAAGTCGTAAAGCCCCATAAAGCAGTAAGGATATGGTTTCAAAACTGAGACCAGATTCTCGAACTATAATGTATTGTAATGATATAAGACGTAAATAATACGATAAAAGTAATCGGACATACTGAATGAGTTATTCTTTTTTGTTAACTGTCTAATTCTATGCACAATTCAAGCAACAAGAACTTAACTTTCTTGTTATATTCACAATGTGGTCTCTTCCCGTGCTTAGATTAAATCATGATTTCTAGAAGCATGGCCGAAGACATAAACTAATCTCTCACATTCGAGAAAAAAATTGAATTAAAGAAGGAAAAAAATGAATTAATACTTAGGATTTAAAATAAAAAGTCCAATAGCATTAACGTACTGATTCTATTTTATATAATTTTACTTTCTCCTACTAAATAGAATTCCATAAATATCTTATATCACAAAAGAAATGAATTCCTTATTTTCTAAACAGGACCAGCTTGAAGATTGTTTGGCAATTTTACATCTTTATCTTTCTCATCGAATGCCTCATCGGTGTCATCATCTTCAAAATCATCCACGTCTAAAGGATTCCTAGAAATTATCATTATTTATGATTAAAATTATTTTACAGTGAAAATGTGTTAAGCACTCGAGGTTCAAGCTGGAATCCTCCCCAACGATATCCTTAATTTTATTATGTTAAAATTTAATGAGAAATTGGTGATAATTAATGATTCAAGAAAAAAAAAATAGTGACTTAATACTTTTCGAAATTTAGTTCTTTATTTGGAGGGATTTTAGCTTTAAGCCTCTCCTCGAAAACACCATTTTTGTCTGATCCTGAGATGTGATTCCTTTTTTAAGATTTAGTGACTAATCAGTGACTCTCATTTACCAATATTGAAACATATTGCTCCAACGAAACCGCAGTTATTCATATGTCTTAAAAAAGATTATGGCTTAAAGACTATATATTATAGAATATATCTAGGACACCTATATCTTACGCCGTGACATATGTATTAAGATTTAGTAACTACTTGTAGCTGTAAGTTTAAAAATCAATTGGTTTATGAAGTAGAACTTAGTGTAAAAGTTACTTAAAGTGTGATGTACATTTTGTAGCGGTAAACTGCTTGCAACAGTGCTGTAACTTGAGAATTTTTTCAAGAATTCCCCTACCGGTTGTCGGTTCTTAAAGCTTTCGGCTGGCCCTTTACCACTTCGCCTTACTTATCCGTTCCGCTATGTCAATTACTCTGGTTCTCGAGCAAATATTTTCTTTATGATCTTATAATCTAATTAATAAATCTAAAAATTATAAGCCGTGGTAGCTCAGATGGTTAGCGCTCGCTGTAAATTTCACAGCACGCTAGCAAACCGGGTTCGATCCCCGCCGACGGCAATGAAATTGTTTAATTGCAATTTTAAGTGCTGATTTACCACGTGCTCGGCGGTGAAGGGAAACATCGTGAGGAAACCTGCATGTCTGAGAAATAAGAAAAAAATATTTCGAAGACATGTAAAGTTCGCCAACACGCATTGGGGCAGCGCGGCGGACACTTCCTTGCCCTAAAACCCTCTCAGAAATGAGGGGAGGCCTGTGCCCAGCAGTGGGACGTATATAGGCTGTAACTTTAACTTTTTAACTTTAAGTATTATGCTTTCATAAAGTTTAAAAAAACGGAAAACAAATGAAAAGGTTTGTACATTGTGTCTCATGGCTGCACCGATGCTGCACTAAATCTTAAAATAGGATTCACATCTATGTGATCAACTCTTCAAATTTATAAATTCATTTAGCTGGTACATTTGAATTTTGAAAACAGTCATTCATTTGATTTTTCCTCATTATTTTTTTCTTTGGCGAGGCTTATTACCGTACAATGGAAAACATGAAGTATCGGTATGTTTACGAGTATGAGTTCTACCGTGGCACCAGTGCTGCAGAAGCAGCTCGAAGGATTAATGATGTGTACGGCGCTGGTGTCGCAAAAGAAAGCACGGTACGTTTTTGGGTTCAACGTTTTTGTTCTGGAAATTTCGACCTTTAGAACAACCCCGTGGACGGCCGGAGACCAAAGTGGAAAATGAAGAATTAAAGGCTATTGTGGAAGCGGATCCATCACAAAGCACTTCAGAGATAGCTGCAGGCTTGGAGTAAATGATAAAACTGTATTAATCCACTTGAAGGTAATCGGGAAAGTAAAAAAACTTGTACGATAGGTACCTCATGAATTGAGTGAATCGAACTTGCAAACACGCGTCGACTGCTGTGGTACTTTGCTCAACCGACACAAAAATGAACAGATTTTAAATTGAATCATTACTTGTGATGAAAAATGGATACTGTACAATAATCTGAAGCGCTCATCGCAATGGATGAACCCTGGAGACCCACACAAATCCCGCCCTAAACGAAAATTGACTCAGAAAAAGTTACTTGTTAGTGTTAGGTAGATTGTCGTTCACTACAGCGTTCTAAAATCTGGCCAAACCATTACGGCAGATATCTTTTGTCAGCAACTGACCATGAAGGAAGAACTAGCTGCTAAACAACTGAGATTGCTCCTTCGCTCTAGGCCACTGTTGCTTCACGACTACGCAAGACCACACTGCACAGCAAACAACCACTAAGTTAGATGAGCTACAATTGGAATGTCTGCGACATCCACCGTACTCCCCGGACCTTGCTCCAACAGATTACCATTTTTTCCAGAATTTGGATAACTTCTTACAAGGAAAAAAATTCAACTCCGATGCGGCAGTCCAAACCGCCTTCAAAGAGCTTATTAATTCTCGCCCCCATGGTTTTTTTAAGTAAAGGGATCAATGAACTACCTATGTGATGGCAAAAGTGCGTAGATAACAACGGTGCATACTTTGATTAATTAAATATATTTTACAAAAAAAAATTGACTTTATATTCCTCCCGTACAAAACGCCAATTTCATATGTAAGGACCTATTGTCTCCTTTAGCGTTGAGTCACAATGCCCCAATGCGTGTTGCAAATGTTGCAATGCCCCAATGCGTGTTGCAGATGTTGCAATGCCACAATCCGTGTTGGTGAACTTTACATGTCTTTGAAATATTTTTTTCTCATTTCTCACACATGCAGGTTTCCTCACGATGTTTTCCTTCACCGCCGAGTACGTGGTAAATCAGCATCTAAAATTGCAATTAATAATCCCATTGGTGCCGGCGGGGACCGAATCCGGTTTGCTCATGTACTGTGAAATTTACAGCGAGCGCTAACTTCTGAGCTACCACGGCCCACTACTTATTGGCATAATATAATTCAAAATATCCTTAGAAGAATTCCAGCTTCAGGGACGCGAACTTTTGTTTTTCATACGAGGTATACGCGCACATATTAGAGGGCCGCGTCCAGCCGCACAATGCATACTGGCGCTGATTGTCAGTCCTTGATGCAGGTATTTGTGTGTGTAAAATTATAACACCTAGGGTACTTCACACATTTTTATGGAACATTGGGTCGGTATCTTTTAAAACTATACAGATTGTTTTTTTATTAGGACTATATATAAAGAATATTACTTACTTATTCCAGTCAATCTTATGTCGTCTCCTGAAAATTATTAAAAATACTTTTAAAAGGAATATGAATATTACAATCAACAATACTTATACAAAAAACAATTCAAAAGACATTTCACAAGGAGTGCCTATACTTTTTTTTTGTGGAAGCGTTCTACGTACAATAATTGCATACGAACAAATATGTATCCAAATTCGAATTATTTACACCTACTCGTACTTCTTGGCGGAATTCCAACTTGTGGTCCAGAGTATCTTATCTATACGCTTAACCACTGCCGTTGTGGCTTGTTGAAGCCAGCACAACAATCCTATTACCATTACTGTAACTATAAGGTCGGGGGAAAAGTTTCTTCGTATTTTATATACTATTCAAGACACTTTTTCTTCAGAGCTTAATTACATTTAACCAGTGCAGGATTGACCACGTAGCAAAAGTACCAATTGCTACGGGCCCCGCTATTGGTATTACTACTACGCTAGTAATATAGTTTGATGGGGCCCGCGCAAAAAGGGCCCCGCGTATCCAAACCTGCCATCAACGCCTAAGCGTAATTATTTGAGTAAAACTTATGAAAACGTAGTATATTGAATTACTTGATGTCACAAAAACGTGAAACGTTGCAACTTTTCCGTCTAAAACAATCCACGTGTGACAATCAGTAACCGATTATTTCATTGGCGCAAAATAAAACACAGAATTTCATACGATGAACGCAAAAGTTTAAACGCCCACCACGTCGAATGACCTGGTTTTCGTACTTCCGATCATGCGGGTAGATCTGCTTACAACTTTGCCTTGGCAAACGGTATGATACAACTGGTAACTTCGCCCACGCGGATTCCACATGTGAAGGATCTTACGCCTTTCCTGTTGAACCTTCTGTTGACCTCTCATCCGAACGGCTATCAGGTCTCCGTCAAAGCCCCTCTTGGCTCTTCGGATCACTGTCTGATCCGGAGTACAGTGCCTGATCGGGAGGCTGCCGCCATGTGTTGCTGAGTTTGTCGCCGATGTGGTGCCAGGGGATGAAACTTTTCGTCCCGTCATCTGTAATGCCTATCGGCGGTAGATCCCAGCATTGATTTGGACGCTTCTGGAAAATTGCGTCGCATCAAAATCAGAAGTGTTACAAAGCATGAGCTGACGCATCGGTGTCCCGGGATGCAAACACTAGCGCACTCAAAAAAAAGTACAACTCTGTCTCCAGGTCCTTCAAAAGAGTTCTCGCTAGGGCAAAGTCGAAGCACATTGGGAGAATTCGCGAGAAACTAGTTCGCCTTCCTTCGGGAACTGGTGCGTTCTTATCCCTCGCCAAGGCTACCCAAGAAAATTTCTGTAAGCAATCATTACCATCTTTTTGCAGGGAATATGACTCGCTGGCCCACGCCGCTAAAGAAATAGCCGATCTTTAAGGTTCTCTTTTTGCATCAAACTCGTCTCTCGACAAAGTAGGGAAAACATACTCCCCGACCGTACCGCGTTGTTAGTGCTAAACACAAGATGTCCTGTTTACTCAGCGATCGGTGCGCAAAGCGTTCCTGTCTCTAGACGTCAATAAGTCGAGTAGGCCTGATGGAATCTCTCCAATTAGGGTGAAGACATGTGCTCCAGAGGTGGCACCGGTTCTTACGCGTACGTTCTCCTACTCTTTAGGCGTCGTTTGAGGCTCATAGAAGATAGCCTTAGTGCATCCGATCACTAAAAAAGGTGACCACTCAGACCAACTACAGGCCTAAACTTGTTCACCAAAATAATGGCATCCATTATTAACTGCCTGCTCATGAAGTACCTTGATGAGCATCAGTTGATGTGTGACCGTCACTACGTTTCCATAGAGGTAGCTCAGCTGGTGATCTTCATGTCTACCTGTCTCACCGATGGGCGGAGGAGGTCAAGACCAAGAGGTAGGCCCTGGCGGTTAGTTTCGACATAGCGAAGTACTTCATAGAGTTTGTCTACTTTCAAAGCTTCCCCCTTATAGACTTCACGAAATAAATGTATTAAAGTCGCAGTTGACGGTGCATGCTTCGATACTAATCCTGTGAATGCTGGTGTTCCACAAGGTTGCGTGCTATTGCCTATTCTGTTCCTTCTACATATCAATGATACGTTGCATACTAGTAACATTCATTGTTATGCATACGACAAACGTCGACGCCGGCCGTGCTAATATTTCTCGGCAACACGTCGTCAAGTGCCGGAACAAATTTGTGTCTGAAGTCGAGTCTTTGTTAAACAAAGTCTCGGATTGGGGGCGACTAAATCTAGTCCAGTTTTACCCCCAAAAGACACAAGCCTTCGCGTTTACGGAAAAAAAGAAATCTTTGGTCGTATCTCCTCGATTTCAGTACACCATTGATAAAATATAACATTAGCTATTCCTTAAAATATATATGTAAGCAATATAAACTTTGAAATATTTACATACTAGAAAAGATTTACTATTATTTGTGTAGTGTCGTCAGTTTTAAATTATTAGTTCCTTATCAAAATCATTCTAAATTGAAAGAACAATCCCATTTGTGACTTTTTGTACTCGTCGGAGTCTCACAGGTTAATAAACCTATAGTAAACTACTGTATTACTAAACACCAACAATATTGTAACCTATAGATTGTTAATAAACTTATTCAGTATTTAATTGTTTTTTACCACTTTATACTTAAGAACCCATAAAAGATCAAGGACCCCTCGATAGAATATGCTACAGGCCCCGCGCTTGCTTAATCCGGCACTGCATTTAACTATAATATATTGTCCATTTTGTTCGACAACTTGTTGCCATCTTATAGACAGTGACAAAATCCCGTTGCTGTATAAGTATTGGGGTTTTCGATGGAAAAAAACGTGATAAGTAGTTTTGACAGTCCTGTCTTGACGTTAACCTAATAGTATCCAAAAAATTCTGAAGAGACCGAAACAGGTTTAAATCTGTAGGTGCTTTAAAACTTCCCTACCAAGCTCTCTTATTTTTGCTGAGTAGCCAAAGATGTATGTAGTTTGGCGTTATCATGATGAAAGACCACTCCTTTTCTGTTGATATGTTCCGGCCGTTTTATCTCAATTTCTTGCTTGAGTCTTATTAGTTGTTGGCAGAAGAGATACGAATCGATGGTTTTACACAGCATCACCTTATTGCGTGTTCATCCGGGTTTCGCTACAGTCTGTGGAGCTTGACTACCCTTTGACTTTTTCACACGTTCTTGTCGTAGGTGATCCACTTTTCATTATCAGTGATCAATCTTTTCAAAAATGATTCGGTTTCATTACGTTTCAATAGAGAATGTGAATGAATGAGTACGCGATTCATTAGGTTTCTTTCAGTGAGCTTGTGTGGTACTCAAATATCGAGCTTCACAAAGCCAGACCTTTTGAAATGGGTCAAAACTGTTTTTTGGTCAATCTTTAATTCCTAAGCTATGTCGTAATTACTAATATGCCGATCTTGCTCTACTTTGTTACTTTTTTTTTTAAAATGGCACCGAATTTATCCGTATAAGGGCGAACAAAGAGAGGTCTTCTTTCTTGTGGATTTCTTGAGGATTTTTGATGTCAATCTTTGACATCAAAAATCCCAGAATGAAATCGCTTGAACCATCTTTGTACTACTCTTATTAACACTGCTGCATTAGTCGCATTTTTCGTAATAAAGCTTCGAATGTATCAAATTTCTTCTTTAGATTCACTCATTTTGGCAAACAGAAAAACAAATGAAAAATGGCGGGAAAGTGATTTTTACTTTTTTTTTCTTTTTCTTAATATCACCAAATAGATTTTTCTTCAATTTTATGAAAAAAAAATACGGAAAAACTTTTTCTCCGATCTATTATGTACAAGTACAATGAACGTAAAAGTATTTTTTTTAAAGACGGATAAGACCACCACAAATTGTTGTCAATTTTACAGAATGATTTATTAATTACCTGTTAGTTGCGATATAATCTTGGTCCATATACTCTTCAGATATTTCTACCGATAGTGGCTGACCCCGATGGTCTTGCAAAATGCCGAAATACCGTGGAGCCCTCGTCACAGTAAATAGAAGGCCTGGAAAAATAAAATAATGTCTATTTCATCTATTTCATTGGCAACAAGTTAGTCCGCGTGTTTATCAAGCAACACTCGCATGTAAATTACACGCAATATATTTTGTTTTCGTTGAAAGTTAACTTCGCCAAACAATTATTATTTATGTACTTTACGAGTGAACAAAATCCTTGCGTGTTTTTAGTACGAGCAGGCCCATTGTAGCTCGGGGGCAAACATGCTCAATTTTCTGAAACACGTTCAAGATTTTGCGAACAAGGCAACGATGTGACCATCACTAATCTTTATATATATAATTCCCCTGTCCGTGTATATGTTATTGAACTCCTAAACGGCTAGACTGATTTTGATGAAACTTTGTGTGTGTGACTAAGTTGATTTAAAAATGGTTTAGATTCACAACTTGACTCGGTAGGTGGCGCTGCTCTCGAGGTCCATAAGTCACCCTTGCGAAGCCGCCGAGGCGAATCGCTATACTATATACTTGTTCAATACCCAAAGATACAATGGTAGTAGACTCGCATACTGAATTGCAAATTTTTTGCTTCAATCCCAGATACATTCAACAGAAGAAACATGCGTTTATAGAATACCAGCTTGAAATGCTGCTGCTGTGGCAACCCTTATCTATATGCTGTGGTTCGTAATATGATGGGTGACGTGAAGCTGAGAACCTTTCTACTGGTAACGAGGTATTCCATCTCTGTTCTCAGGAGGGGCAACGCGTTTGCAGATAATTAATTGAGTATAGATGTGTCTATGGGCAACAGCATCCAAAGAGGCCATCCATTACTTTTTCTGCCACCAGGGATGTGTCAATTAGGAATTAAGGGAAATATCTGACAGATTTGAAAAAGGGGGAAATTAATATGTTAGAAAAGTGTACAGAATAATGTTTTGAAATATTAGCTTTATTTCATATTTATTAGATTAGAAATATATAAACCCAATATATTACTAAAAGTGGAATTAAAAAAAAAGGTAATAATGTGTAAAAATATAAAAGAAGCACTACAGCACTGAAGCATTTTTTGTGTAGCTATATATATATATATATATACATCATCATATATATACATATATATATATATATATATATATATATATATATATATATATATATATATATATAATCTTTTATTTATGACTTAAATTAAAAAAATTAAAAAGCCCAGCCCCCAATACTTTTCGTATTGGGGGCTGATGATCTTCAAACGGCTGAAAAGATTTTGTTGAATCATAGATAAAAAACTCTCGATCGAGTCACCTTTCAAACAAAAAAAAATATTGGTTGCCTGTAAAGTCGGTATACGGGCGAAAGTTTTACGTGACAACGACTCTCTCACTCTCTCTCTCTCGCTCTGTCTCTCTCGCTCTTAGGCGGGCTAACTGTGCTCGAGTGGAAGGGACGCGTGCCTTTCACTTTTTATGTCTGTCTCTCTCGCTCTTAGGCGGGCTAACCATGCCCGAGTGGAAGGGACGCGTGCCTCTCACTCGCTCTCATTGTGAGCGCATAACGTGAGCGGAGCGTAACGCAGTTTCTTGAAGTGTCACCCGGCAAACCAATTTATAAGACGTTGTCACGTCAAAACTAAATCTAAATGGGTTCGTCCTTTGGGAGCTACAATGTCAACGAAAAATACACAGATAAATAAGTTAAATATATAACATCACTTTGTTTGCGTCGGGGGTTAAAAATGCAACTTTTCAACATTGTTTAAATAGTCACACGGTGTAACAAATAATTTTACCTTAACCACAACTAGCGACAAGCGCAAGGTAATTAGTCCTTATTACAATTAGATGGTATACTCCATAGATAATACACTATATACATACTTACTCGTTTAACACACTAACATCTATACATATAGTCTTCTCTATTTCTTATTGCCTCTATTTCCTGCAGGAAATAGAGTAAATGGGGCCCTACACTCTATTGTGAAGAGTCAAAATGTGTCAAAAAAGGCACGTATAGCAGTTCACAATACTGTGTTGGTCCCTACTTTAACGTACGGTAGTGAAAGATGGGTGTGGCAGAAGAAGCACGAGAATAGAATAAACGCAATAGAAATGCGGTCGTTAAGGAGTATGTTAGGGCTGAATCTGAATGACAGGGTGAGAAATTGTGTGATAAGAGAAGAGTGTGGTTTGCAAGATAATGTTGTGACCAGGATTAAGAAAGGAATGCTTCGGTGGTTTGGTCATGTGGAAAGAATGAATGAGGAAAGAGTGACAACGAAAATTTATGTTGCAGAAGTGAATGGCAGAGTCGGAAAGGGACGTCCTAGGCGAAAATGTATCGACCAAATTAGCGATTTATTGAAAACGGGCCAAATTAGGAGTATCCTTAACCGACGAGCATGTATGCGTAGGTATATGGATGTGAAGGAGGCGAGAGAGGTGTGTCAGGATCGTGCCAAATGAAAGTCTGTAGTCTCTGCCTACCCCTCTGGGTGACAGGCGTGAGTATTTATATATAAATCTGTAGAAAAATTATTTGTTCACGTATCACGCAAAAACTGATGGACGGATATCCATGAAATTTGGTTTATAGGCAGTAAATGATGGCGTATTACATATTATAGGCAACTTTTTATCCGCTTACGACTAAAAGAGAAGGGTTGTGTTTTTCTCTTTTTTAAGTTTATTGTCATAATGATTGTGGTGTTTGTATTAGTCATAAAAAGGATTTACGAGAGCTATACGTATTACATTAAATAAGTCTATAGAAGTGTGTCAAACCAGGTCATCCCGTATCCAACCAGAAAGAGCAGAATAACGTCTGCCGGGCCAGCTAGTCCATTACGAATACACACGGACTTTAAAAAATTAAATTCTTAGACTATTATTAAATAGGTTATACTTACTATCGTCAACTGCGTATAATCCTTTAAAAAATATACACAATATTATAATCACTACTTGCAGTTTCAATTGCTTTTCGCACATTTTACAAAAATATTAAATTATACAATAATGACTGGTTACAACAGAAATTTAATTTTAAAAGTACTTAATACTTAAAATTATAGTCAGTAGTATTAGGTCATAATTGTGTAAGATATTTGAGCTTGGTTGAAATTTCTGAGTTGATGAACTTTTAATCTGATATTTTGAGGATTCAAAAGTTACAACTTCCGTCGCATTCAAAGTTTGAAAAATACGGTATTGTTTATTAAAACGAAACTATTGTTTCAATTTCGCGGTAAATCTTGATTTGAGGAACAATATTATGGTGTAACCTATAAACACGTGACTTTGGAATCACGATTTATAAAAGCATTTTACATTTCAACAGCTAATTGTTTTGTTTTATTTCTATTTTGTCCATATTGGTATAGTGTCTTCCAGATCAATCCTTTACGAAACTAAACAATGTTGAGATACTATTACTTAGAAATATTCTACAGATATAAATGTATAGTTTATACATTTTAATTCAATGAAAAATAGTATATCTAGTGCAAGTCAACGTTTTAAAAAGTTATTTAGATTTGTACCTATATTTGCAGTCTTCAAATAAATCATTATCAAAAACGATATCAAAAATAGTTTGGAATTATTGTTTATCCTTAGGTATGCTGTATCTTAAATTCTGCAAGAGCGTAGTCCTACCACGATCGGAACAACCCATTCGTGCTGCAGCCATAATATAGATGCCGCGTGGCTCTATCTCGTTTAAAAATCTCATCCTATTTTCTCTTCTTTATCTTTACATACATACGTTATAACGCGGTAGAGCTATGCTGCAGCTATTGTATGGTTGTAGCACGAATGGGTCAACTTGACCGAGGAGGACTACGCTGTCACAGAATACCAGCGTAAAATAGCAGCTTAATGCTATTGCGTTTCATATGGTGAGTGAATGGTTTTTATTGGAAAGAGACATTACATCTTAGTCCTCAGGGGTGACAACGCATCTATTATTCTCTCTTCTATACATTTCGAGGAAAAATGTAGTCTTCTATGGGTCTCAGCATCCACTTACAGCTGGACTGTGTGCTAACAGGTGGACTGTGTGCTCGTTTGTCACCCTTATTCTATTTAAAAAAACATATTAAATTCTTCTCATAGAATACTATAATAAACAATAGAATGGCTGTCAACCTTACTTTGTAGGAGGATTGGCGTCCCCGGGAGCACACATACAAACAGTTGCGTCGTATCATCAGTTATCACTGCTACAAAGACATTTTAGACTTTTGATTAATGTTTTTGGCACATAAACGTTTCTTTATTTTTGTTTCTAATATCTACAAAATATAAATAGTTTCGACTTACTGCTTGTAGAATATGTCTCCTTTATTTAAATTTCATTTCCCGCTGTTCTTAAGACACGTAATTATTGCACAATTTGCCATGTTTTAAATAATTTGCATGCAGCGACGCTTGACACGAACATTGGAAACGATTGATTGTGTTGACATTTGAACGTGTGTATTGACGTGTTAGTGGCCACACGGGATCCGCCTACTCCCCCGTTCTATTATGTACGTATTATAGTATTCTACGATTCTTCTGTACGTGTGTTTTTCACTGAACTCCTCCTAAATGGCACCAATTTGATGAATTTTTTTATGTGTTTAAATAGATTTTTTATAGAATAAGGGCAAACAGTCCACCTGATGGTTAGTGGATCCTGTGGCCCATAGACTTCTACATTTATCCTGGATTAAGAATTATAATGCAGATGCGTTGTCACTTCTGAGTAATAAGATTAAATCTCTCGTTTTCAGTAAAAAAGGGGTCTCCAGTTCTCTACATTCATCATATGAAACACAGCAGTATTAAGCTCCTATTTTACGCTGGTATTCTGTGAAAGCTTGGTCCTTCCCCGGTCGAACCGACCCATTCCTAATATAGTTGCAGCTTGGCTCTACAAAGTATCGGAATGGTTTAAATTCACAATTTGAACTTTGTTGTCGAGATCCGGAAATCACACGTGCGAAGCCGGTGCGGATTGCTAGTATACTATTAATTCACTACCAAATATGCCATTTTGAATGATATTTGCTCACCGTACTGGGTGGGAGAGTTAGTGGTCAACCTCCTATAGTAAAATTATTTTGTCCGTGCAGTTGGGGTCATAAATCATAGCTCGACCTCAGTACGGCTAGGGCGGTGAGCACGTTGCGCGGGCGCAACGCAACACGGAGGCGGCAAATTTACATTAAGTAAATAGTTTTAGATTTAATTTTAGATATAAGTTATTATCTTTATATTTACATTTATTTTTAACATAACTTTTTGTATTCCAAATATTTGTACTTATATATTTTTAAATACATAGATACTTGATTAATAATTTATTTTAAATCATTATTATTCTTATTTTAATAAATACATTGTGTTATCTAATTTTTTTTCATTTTTATCACTAACCCACATAATGACAAAACTAAGTACACTATCGATAACGCTTATCGACAACAATAATACGCATCACTGTGCTCGCCCCTAAGGCCCGTGAGTGGGAGAGAGAGCGAAATACTCCGATGATTTATGGCCTGATAATTTTCTATTGAAGGTTTTGCACCATCAGTTTTGCTTGACGTCAGCGGTCAGGGTATATTATAAATAAGAGATAAGTATAAAATCAGTCTATCGGAGACCATAGAACCGTTAACGTTACAGCTTATTGAAGCCACTGCTGAACATAAAACCTCCCCCATAGGCTGCCTCATAGAGGGGATATTTGCCATAGATGCCACAATTGGCAAGCGGGTTGGCAATCGCAGTTTTTTGGTAGTTATTAGGAAGACGCTGCTGCCTATTTTATTTGTATACCTCTGTCGCCTCTTACGTCACCCACGTGATGATATGGGATAGTGGATATCTTTATACCGCCACTGCACGGTAAAACCGGACTAAGAGCTTGGCGTCTCCTATAAACTCACCCCTCGGATGTAGGAATTGAAGGATAGTTTGATGGTCGAGAGTCCTGGTGCTGTGATCCATGTTTACTAGACGCTCACACTAAGCCTGGTATTGTTATAGACTCCCTGAAATCCGGGAGTTCAGGTTAACTAAGAAGGGGTGAACTGCACCAGGGAGAAAACCCAGCAGACCATAGAACGCGATCACGATACGAATTTTTTTTCTTAGTAAGTAAGAGTAGGTTATACAGTTCGTCTTCTTCAAACAAAAATAATCAATTAACAACCAGGCGGTTGGCAGGTCTTCGCCCCTTTGCTGTCGATATCCCAAGTATTCGAGACAAACGACTAGCTACGTCTTATGTAAAGCTTTCCAAAGGAGTCGAATATTCTACAGGTGTCTGTCTTCTCGCCCGATTACAATCTGTGCGTCTTCAAGATGTTAAAAGATTATTTTTATGCCGAGACAGTAAGATTTACCATCTAGGACTTGCATCACCACTTACTACCAGATGGGATTGTAGCCAAGTACCAGCTTATTATAATTAAACATGACATTTCGTATTTGTGTGAATTGTTTACATTTATCTCACACCTATTTTGTGTGATGGATGCTAGCAGCATCTCACTCGCTCAGAAATCGTGATTTACCTCGCTCGCATGAGCTTGTCACACATAACTTCCGACATCTCTCTCTTCACTACCATCTTCGACCATATACTTGCCGTTTCTCGTCATAATTTATGTATAAATGCGCTCATAACTTCTTAATTAAATGCTTAGACTACTCTACAGAAAGGAAAATCTTAACATCACTAAAGAAAATCTTTGTGTCAGTTTGAACGCATCCATAATTTTGTTATGACACTCGTGGAGAATATGTTTAATAGAATAAGGGCTGTTACCCAACACGCGATCCACTCGATGTTAGGTGGATGCTGTGATTCATCCAAACATAATAGACGTCTACATCTATCCTCGATTAAGAATCAAAATGTCACCCTTGAGTACTGAAATAGGATAAGCTGCTTTTTCACGCTGGTATATCTTCTGTGAGAACGAGTATCTCCTCAGTGAAGCCGACACATTTGTACTACTACTACGACATAGCCTACTATGTAAAGAATATTAAAATGGTTTAAGCTTAGGCACACGGTCGGATCCGACCAAGGCGATGTTCCGTCAAATTCCAAGCGGTTGGATCCAACCGCACAGCAATATAACCCATAAATACTTTAACGACTACTTTTAAAGACTACTTTTCTATGAACAAGCGAAACGCGCTAGATTTGTCAACGTTTTAGGCTGGGGATTGAGGGGTTCGGACATCTGACTAGTTTGAACACAGGTTTCCGATTAAAAACCGGTCCTGGCGTGCAACAATGGACATTCCCAGGGCCGCTTGAATAGGCCTGCGTCCAGCAAGATCTTTATAATGTATATGATTGATTGAAACTTTTTTTTTAATATTTGATTCCCAATTAAGAACAATTTAATAAATTGACCATGTATATTTATGTACTTAGAACGTGTTTAATTAAGGATGATTAAATGAAACTAATTTTATAGTAACACCTCAGTCGTCCCCGTAACTACGGGTATTGTAAAGCACCCGAAACATCGGGAATAAAGTTAAAATTATACGCGATAACATCGTAAAATCGATTTCATTTAATGTGTAGTGTTCGTGTAAATATAAGAAATCGTTACATAGGGAGATAAAAACTAAAAGGGAGTTCAATTATAAAATAATATTTATTAAAATCTATCGTTTATAGAACAGGTTTCCTTCTCCACCCCACAATCTTCGTCCTCCATATCCGATTAGTTCCTGTCGTAAAGCGTTATATTTTTTAAAGAATAGTTTTTTCAAAATTCTCTTGCGTCGTTTGTCTTCCTTTAAACAAGATTCCAATTTGTCCATACACACGTCCTCCCTAAAAAAAAAAGTATGCAGTTTACTTGCAGTAGAAGTGAAACCTTCAGAAAACTAAACTTCGAGAGATTGAGACTGTAGATGTATATGTTTGTCTCTTTTTTGTGTCGTTTTTTCGTTTGATTCACTTTCAAATCACTATTCTAGAGAAGATTTCACTTCAAAAAAGAACATTTAATCTATTACAGAATCCACTTCCACTTCTACACGTGTATGTCGTGAATAGTAAAAAATCCAGACAGTAACAACATATTACAACTAGCGGCACGAAAGTCTAGCGATGACCGTTATTGCGCATAATTGGCCACACTACGCATTATTGCGTATGATTGGCTGTGCGTATCGTTCGCAAGCGCTTATTGGCTCTCTAGCCGCCTTCCGTCCCCCATACCCACAGCTACCCCCTCCACGTTTCGTTCAGCGCTAGAGTTAGTAATTAGTACCGCGAGTTGTATTGTGTTAACCGTTTTATTACGATTAGCAGTTTAACGGCTCCGTGGTGCAGTGGCCTACAAATAATTGTTCCGAGTCTGGATGTCAGTCCTTGTGCAATTTATGTTTGTAAACAGCCTCCAAGATACAAAAGAAAATACTAGCGTTGGAGTGACGTTTTATTTAAGAAAAAATTACAATTAGGTAGTAGTTAAATTTATCACCCTCAAAATCTCCAGACAAACAGCTTCTCTTCACATCATAGCTGCCTTTGATTTAATAAAAGCTGAGTTAGTAATTAGATTGGACTTTGAAGTAAATTGATTGGATTTTAAATCTTTTCTGAATACTTCTATAAAGTTCTAAATTGCGGGACTCAGTAAAGTCCAATACCAAATACATGTAGTCACCCGAAAAATAAGTATACTTAAATTTTTCAACCCCCAAATCCCGACATTTTCAGATTTACTCCAGATATTTTGGTCTTTCAATCTGACATTCCTACCTGCAAACCGGAACACAGCAGTACAAGCACTGCTATTTGGCAACAGACATAGGTAAGAGGGGTTTTATTTTTAATAGAATAATGGTGACAAACGAGCATACAGCCACCTGATGGTAAGTGGATACTGTGGTCCATAGACATCTACATTTATCCTCGAGTAGAAATCAAAATCCAGATGCGTTGCCACCCCTGAGGATATGGTATCATATATAAAAATGGTATCCAGTTCTCTACCCTCACCATACGAAACATAGCGACATAGAGCTGCTATTTTACGCAGGTATTCTGTATGAGCGGCCGACCCATTCGTGCTACAAACATAATATAGCTGCAGCGCGGCTCTACCACATATAGGTAATACCAATCCAGACGGATTTATGTACGGAAAAGAAATCATACCGTCTATTATATTATAATTATAACAGAAATTTGTATGAAATAAACATTTTATGAAGCAGACAATTAGAGTATAAAACTTTATAGAACGCGAACTTTCCCAGTTCGATCTCCGCTGGTACCAAACTGTTAATTACAATATAAGTATTTTAGGCGCTAATTTGCCACGTACTCGCCGTTGAAAAGAACATCGCGTAAAAACCTGTATGTGTGAGAAATCAAAAATCGTAAATCAAAATTCGAGGACATGCAAAGTTAAGTGCATGCATTCGAGTAGGGCTGCAGAAAAGAAAAGAAGCTTAGTGCCCAGCATTGGAACGTATTTAAGTTGTTACTTTAATTATTTATGATAGACTTAGATCATACTTAACAATAACTAACTGAAGTCTTGTACGGTAAATCACAACAGACAATTTTACTTTATTTTTAATTGTTACTGTTACAGTCTATTAAAATCCACTGCTGAACATAACCTATAGATGCCTTGCATAGAGGTAATATTTGTCATTGTTGGCACACTTGGCAAGCAGATTGGCAACCGTAGTTATTTTTATTCGTTTTAGGAAGACGCTGCTACCCATATCTAGATTTGTTTCCGTCATCTCATACGACATGGAGTAGTGGATAATCTTACACCGCTACTACACGGTATTATATAATAACATAGTCTTAATATCTTTTTTTTACATTGATTATAATTAAAAACATAATATTGTACAAGAAAATCTTACTTATAATTCTGATCCAGCAACAACTTTACTGGCTCTGTTTTGGTATATTTGTCAGGCAAACGGGCACCTGGTGGCATTTTAGACAGCTCTTTCATTATGCCCATAATTGTATTTTCTAACTGCGCTAGTTTCGGTACCATAAGTCTTTTTATGACCTGTCATGTAATAAAAATATCTTGTAAGTTTGATCTAAGAAGTGTCTATTTAAAGCAAATAAATTAAAACATTGAAAGCTAAATTAAAGTAATTGAATAAAACTACTTTTTCGGATTTTATCACGTTTGATTTTATTTCTTTTTATTTCTAACATTTCGGGTGCTTTGCAGCACCCATGATCACGTGGGACTGTAGTTTTATTCAATGTGTAGTATTCGAGTAAATATAAAAAATCATTAAGTTTAAGTAACTTAAAATATACGCTTTGTGTAGCTTACAATTACAAATAAAAGCTAAAATTTTACAACTGAACTCAAACAAAAATTACCTTTCCGCATTTGTTACCAGTCTTACAGGGAGTTCTGAATCTCCTTCCAAGTTCCATTGTCGGTAAGTTTTGAATTTGTGTGATTACATTAGAAAATGTACCTGTTGCTGTTTTTTGAGCTGTGAATATAGAAGTGAATAATTCAGAACGAAGTAACATGCAGGGATACAGTTAGGACTTTACAAATTAATAATTTTACTCTTTCTTAAAAAAAAATGCGACTTGATCGTCGGCGTACAAAAGGCATTTAATAGCTAACTCAACCATTCTTTGACTTTCAAAATTTCTAAATAAATGGCATGAACATATTGAGCAGTAACGGCGACGCTACGTAGCTCTGTCTAACCCCTTTATGGATGCTAAACCAGTCCGTATAGGCGCTGTTGATCCTGAAATAAGCTCAGGCCAGCGCAAACCGAAACTTTTTTGAACACAAACTTCTTTGTAATTAATTGCATAGAAACGACTATGATCCAGAGACCTCATCCCTTATATAAATCCAGCTTGGACATCCCAATTTTATCCATTAGTTACATTATACAATATAAAATTATATTAACATCGTCAAAAATCAATCTGCGGCTTAGCTTTTGACTTATCATCGAAATAATTTAATATTTTAATGAAAAATATTACTCTAGTAGAGTAAGATAGGTTAAGAATATCCAATTCAACACATAACATTTAAGAAATTTGACTTTGAAAACTAGCTTTCTACTTTATTTCACGGTTCGCCTTAATTTACTAAATTATATTTTCTTTGCTCTATACCTATACATTCTTCATCTTAGTAAGTAAAGATATTTAAATATATAATATAATATTAAAACATACCAATTTTTGTTTTTTTTAATTTACCAACTCTTGCTATATCTGGTTTATATTCATCGGAACTTTTACTGTCCCCTAAAATAGCTAAACATGTTAACATAAAAACGAGACTTATATACACATCTAGGATCATATTTTATACGTAAATTAGTATAGCATTTACGACTAGAGACTGCGGAATAATAGGCACTTCGTATTTCTCTCAGCAAGTTTACAAAACATTAGTTGACAAATAACCGTAATAGGAAATAGTTCAGTCACGTTTGCTTATGTTTATAAATTCTATGAAGCTGTATAATCTTAGTTTAACGGCAATTTTCAAGAATAACGTATTCGGAGATCTTTTTAAAACTTTAGACTAGAAATTTTATAATGATTAGGTACAATAGTCAATGGTAGATACTTTACATAATAAAGTAGTATTTTGCCTAATGTAATTAAAAATAGGAATGTTTAGTCTATCTACACATTATCATTATTTTTCTTTATCGCCTGTACATCCACATTATACGTGGTGAACCATGCTGCAGTTATATTAGTAGTATAGTTGTAGCACGAACGGGTCGGCTCGACCGGAGAAGGACCATGCTCTCACAGAATACCAGCGTGGAATAGTAGCGTAATACTACTGTGTTTCGTGTGGTGAGTGTAGAGAACCGGAGACCCTTTCTACTGGAAAAGAGGCATTCCATCTTAGTCTTCACGGGTGACAACGCATCGGCTTTTGAATCGTAATTGAGGATAGATGTAGATGTCTATGGGCCGCGGCAACCACTTACCATCAGGTGGACCGTATGCTCGCTTGTCACACTGTCCCATAAAAGAAAAATCGGGCATGAGCGAAACCTAGGAAATATTCGGCGTTTGTCAAAAGCGGATTATTGGTTTCAGGACCAAATGTATTGCACTTTTTTTACTTCGTACTTACTTAGCCAGTGATTGGTTTTACCTGATGGTAAGAGGTGATGTAGCCGTTGATGGTAAAACGTTTAACTGTGACGAAGCTCTCCGGCCCCGATCTACTTATTTTACACCTTGCAACACGAGATGGCTATATCTATATATATACAGTGTGTCTGGTCACGACCTAGGGATAATTTAAGGTTACAAAATATACCTAATTTCATCGACGAAAACACCTATATATGGGGGTCTACGCCCCCGCCCCCTCCTGTCGGAATGGCCACCATTTAATTTTTTTTTTATTCATGTAGCTACCTCTGCCAAAAGATGCAGATTTCTCTGGACAGAAAGGTCCTATACATGTAAAAAAATGTTATTTAAAAGGTAAAAATAGCATCTATCAAATAAAAATAAACATCATGGAAAGTTTTCCCTACAAAATATCTTAAAACATTTACAATGCTAATTTAAGTAAAAAAAATTGACAATTTTTTTTATTTTTCTTAACATACTTCAAAAACTAGCACTATGATACTAAATTTAAAAAATTTAGTATATTTTTTAAATTTAGTATCAATGTGCTATTTAGTATACTGTCCTAATACTTAAGGATATTACTTACAAATTGACATTAAAATTATTGTTCTTAATTGCATAACTCGAGAATTAGGGCTGTTTGAATATGACACTTTTGCGAGGGTCATGTATGTAGAGCCTCGTATGAGCGCTATTATTTTTCGATAATGGATTAAATAAAAAACACTATAACTTTTAAGAAACTTTTAATGGCATTAAGTATTATTATTAATTTAATAATTGTTCAAAATGTCCACCTCTATTCTGTAGACAGGCTACTGACCTTACAGCCATTTGTTGTGTGGCCCTTGATATTAAGACTATGTCGGATCTTATGTCATCCGCAATCGTCATTATTTTGTCGTGCAGTTCTTGTCTGCTATTTGGGACTGTAGCATAAACCCTCTGCTTCATCCATCCCCATAAAACATAATCCAGAGGTGTTAAATCCGGAGCGAGGTGGCCAAGCTACCGTTCCACCACGTCCTATCCATGGTGAATAATTTTCATTAAGAAAAGCTCTCACAGTACGTGCGTAGTGAGCTGGTGCACCGTCCAACTGTAGCCACGTGCGCCTTCGGTTGATCACTGGTAATTCCTCTGTGGCCGTGGAAGGAAAAAGGGAGATCTCCCGCCGGGCAAGGTGTTCTGCCCGGGGAGCGGCCAACACTCCCTGTGATAGTTCTGAGATGTTCTATATATACTGTTCATGATTCGGAATTTTGATAGCGTGATTTAAGCTTCGGTGTGTTTCGGTGTGCTAGTGGCGCGACGACAGCGCCGCTACATCACCCCCTGCTCAGACCGAAGGTCGATAGTGCAGCCTCGTTGCCGTCGAATGTGCAAGTGCCAGGAGATTGCCTTGTAGTCTGCGGTGAGTCGAGAAGAAGGCAAGTAATCTGCGAGAGTGCCGTGAAGCAGAGGCGAGCAGTAAGGCTCAGAGCCGTGCCGAACACTGTATAGCTATTCTAATCTCGCTTAGACTGACGTCCGGGATATCATCGGAATAGTGTCGGATAAGACTTGCTCTTGGATCGTTACTCACACTTGCGTGTGGCTCCAACGATGATGTGTACAGCTGCCCATAGAACTTCTCAATCTCACTCAAAATCTCAGGTGTCCCGGAAACGATGCTGCCACACTCAGTCTTCAGCCTTGACAGTTGGCTCTTACGGGCAGACAGATCTCTGGCAAAGACTTTGGAGCCCTGGTTCCGCTCGATCGCTTCTTTAATACGAGCAGTATTAAAGTTGCGTAAGTCTCGCCGCATGCATTTGGAGATCTGTCTGTTCAGTTGCCTGTATGCTGTCAAATCTGTTGACGATTGCAGCCTCATCTCTTGTCTAACAGCCATGAGATTAAGAGTGTGATCGGAGAGTTTTTGTGTTCTTCTGTGGCGGGTCTTGCAGAACTTAGCTCCGACCGCATGGACAGTTTCCACGAGCTTGTCATTCATATCGTCCACTGCATTGCAATCTTGTAGGCACTGAAAGCGGTTGTGTAACTCGAGCTGAAAGTTTTCGGAATTTTGGATTAGAGCACGAGGGGGACGGAGCGTTGACTTCATTAGACGAGCCCTCTCCAACTTAACGTTTAGGTTCAGTGTGCCTCTAACCATTCGGTGATCGCTGCCAGTTTTCACCCTTGCGATCACTGAGACATCACTGAACAGTTGGCGTCTGGTCGTCATAATGAAGTCAATCTCATTTTTTGTCGAACCGTCGGGGCCCGACCAGGTCCACTTCCTGTGGGGCCGCTTCTGGAAGAAAGAGTTCACCATAAAGAGTCCCTCTTTCTCCATAAAGTCGGTCAGCTGCTGGCCCCTTCGGTTCCGTTGCCCTACTCCAAATTTCCCTAACTTCAGCTCACCGTTTTCTCTTGTGCCTAGTTTTGCGTTGAAGTCTCCCATCAACACCGTGTAGTGGGTTTTGGAGGAATGCATGGCTTTGGAAATATCCTCATACATTTCCTCCACCTCCTCATCGGAATGTGCCGAGGTTGGAGCGTAAACCTGTATGACCTTCAGCGAATACCGTTTGGTGATTCTGAGTATCAGGTACGCGACCCTCGTCGACACACTCCCAATCTTTACAACGTTGTTTACGAGAGACTTGTGGACGATAAATCCGACACCTCCTTGGGACAGATGATTGCCCTCCCGGTGATAGAACAAGTTGCCGGATTCGAGAATCACCGTGTCCTCCCCCTCTCTTCGGACCTCGGATAATCCTATAATACTTCAGCGCAACTTGTCTATCTCTTCTTCCAGCTCCAGGATCTTCACGTCAGTCCTCAGTGTGCGTGCGTTGAATGTTGCCAGAGTCATCGTAGGTGGCAACCGAACCTCCACCGGAGATTCTTAGCACCCCCTGCCCTTTTTCTGGCTACGGTGGCGACCATGGATTTTTATGTGTCCCATAGTAATAGTATGGCGACGCACGTACAACGGTTAACCGCGTTCGGTTTTTTATTCATATTCCACTAGGCGAGCGCAGAATAAAGTCGTTATTTGCGATGCTAATTAGTAGCAAAAGTATCCTTTCAGATGTCTTTGACCTGTTATTGGATGTACCCAATACTTATGACGGCACTGTTGTTTACGTTCTCTATTTCTAAATTTAAAAACCAAAGCCACAACACACGCTACTCGCCAGAAATCCATTGTGATACTGAAATCAAATTAAGCAAAACGCCAGCAGCAGTGCGTGATTGTAGTTTATGCGTATGCAGTTTTGCATTTTCAGCTATTCCTAAACCACTTGCGTTTGTTCGCACATCTGAAACCGCAAAAAAGTAACACAAAGCTTTCTATACAAGCGCAAACAATTAGCGACTTTTAGAGGTTTGAATTTTGCTTTTCTTAATGATACTAATATTTTGAAAATGTCATTTGAAGAACTGCATAAGTATGGAGCAGGTCAGGCTCGAAAATACGAGCGAGATTTAGGCGTGGTTGAATTACGCCAGGAAATCTACGTTTTTAAAGAGCAAGCTCCGCTTTTATTTGGTGATATAGAAAATGCTAACGGTTTCTATCTCTTGCAACAGATCTATGCGCATGATTTGCAGGATGCTTTTCCCAATATTTGCATTGCCCTGCGAATATACTCTACGCTTCCTATTACATCCGCAAGCTGTGAGCCAAGTTTTAGCAAACTAAAACTAATTAAAAGTTATTTTCGATCTTCTATGAGCCAGGAATGTTTATCGAGTTTTGCAATCTTATCGATAGAAAATCGGATTGCACATGAGTTAAATTATGACAAGGCCAATAGATTAATTTGCTGAACACAAAGCTCGAAGAGTAAAATTGTAATTTCAATTAACAAATGCAATAATAGATTTGATTTTTATTTTTTCATACATCATCATCATCATACATATTTTTATTTTAAATCCTACCCTGTACTGTGTATAAAAATATATCCTACACGTTCATGTCTATATATCCGTAAATAAATAGGCTTAACACAGAAAGAATAGCGATGGATGCATTATTTCCGGAAGGCCTGTGTACAAATGTCAATCAATTAGTGGACATCTGATAGCTGAAATTATAAATATGATAAAGGTAAAAATAAATATAAGTGGGCGGCGTCGCATTTTTGATATGCATATTAC